ACATGCTCTCTCCCATTTTTACCTTTTGAGATCCTGCCTGTCCTCCAAGGAAACTATTAAAAAATGCTACCTTCTTCATACAGGCTTTCACTATCCTCTGCCTGGTTGTGATCATACCTACCTGTGAACTCCCATAGCACTTTATATGTATTAGAAATATGCTTCCTTCTTATCCATTCCACAAAATGTTGAGCTCCTTACCAGCAAAGTCTGTGTTTTATTGGCCTTTATAATCCTCCACCCCTAAAGTGCCCAGCTACGTTGCATGTAGTAAGAACTCAATTAGATTCGACCAAGTTTATTGGATATCTACACCAGAGTTTAATACAATGGGAAGATCCTTTTATGTCTCATATATGCTACATTGTTTTGTAAAAATGAAGACATATTCAGTTTGAATATATCTCCATTTTTTGACTTTAATTTGTGATTCATAGTGGATCTCAAATATTTATTTATACATGTTTAAATTACTAGAGAAAGTAGTAAATAACTTTTGATAGGTACTATAAAATACTGAAAAGACAGTTTAGAATTACACGTGGCCAAATATCTGGCTATCAGTGTCTCCTGTTTTTTTACTACTCTGGATGTGTGTATCCCAACTCTCTATTTAAAATACAAGCCACCACTTTACAAAGTTCCATTTTACATGTTAAGTTTCAAATATTTTCACTCTGTAGAAGTGATGAGAAGATCACAAGTTATGTTACGGTGGGAAGGCTGTATGTATTTCCTCTTCTCAGCTCTGACATAGCTGTGGGGATTTTCCTTGGCTTTTCTGAATGTTCACCTTGTGTCTCAGACCAGACATGAGCATTTGGACAAGAAAGGAGATTTTTTTAAGGAAAGTTTTGAGCTTCCAAGCTTACATAAAATAAACCAGAGTCCAAGATAATCAGGTCCTTCTGGCCCTTTTCACTTTTTTGCAGGCACTTTCTTGCAATTTTCTCTTTGAGAGTATGCCCTACCCACTGCTTCACAGGATTAATAGGCTGCTAAACTGGAGGAGTAAACCAACCTTATAGGGTCTGGTAGAAAGAGCAAGGGTGTAGTGGAAAATTAAACCAGTCTTCAGGGCCTTACCCCACGGTTGGCCTTGATTTTGGGTGTAGGTGGCTACCTAATGTGGTGTAATTTCAAGGGTTGCCAAAAAGCCCTCCATTAAGGAAAAAAAAGGAAAAATACCTTCCCACTTGTTGGCTGGGGCCCAAACTCCTTTTTCTTAAGGATAAGACTCTTGCCCTATAGAGATAGTTTAGGCTTGGAATGCCAGACTCCCACCTTTAAAGATGGAGTCTAGGAACTTAAACTTGGCAACTTTTCCTGGGGATTGTCAATGCCTCACATAAACTCAGAATTTTTGGATCATGTGTAATTGGTCCCAGAGCTTTTGCATCCTTTGCCTTTCAGCTCAGTTAGTGTATCAGCTTTTTCTGCTCTTGGTGCTTAGTAGTTTTTCCCAAAAAAATTTCTTGTGTTTTACTTATATTTTTGGGCCATTTTCTCCACACTATATTATCCAAAACCTATCACATTTTATTTTAAGGAACAAAAGGGTAATATGGAATCCTCTCAGCAGACACTGGGATCTTCAGAAACTGCATAAAGAATCCTGATGGAAAATGATTTAAAATTTAAGGTTTTAAATACTAAAAATGCAAATGACATAAAAGGAATTGTTTAGCCCTCAGTAACTACCCTAGAAACTACCCGTGAAGCTCTCAGTAATTACTCTAAAATATGCACATGGAACATTTGATATCCCAAGAGCAAGGCAATTAATCTAAAATATTAGACTTCATTCTTGGATTTTAGAATGGATCCAGGGATCTCATTCCTGGATTTTAAATGACAGATAATGGATCCTGTCCTTAGATCAGGCTTTGAGGGAGGCATGGAAGAGGGGTATAAGACACTGAACACTGTTATCTCAAATGATTGAATGCAAGTCTCTTGTCGTGGCAGTTTTGTCTTTGTTGGACCTGTCTGATTTTCTTGATCTTTGTAGCATGTCTCCTGTGGTACTCCAACTGAACAAGATTCTGGTTGGTTACTTCTTAATCTTCTACCATGTGTTCTATGCTTGGAAAGTGGATCTTATAAATTAGGCAAGACGCTAAAAGAGTTTACCTTGTCTCTCACTTCAAAAAATAAGCCTCCAAACTCCTTGAGTCACTGTTCAAGGAGTGACCACACACCAGGAACCATTATTGTGTTCCTACACTTCTCCATCCAGCAGCACACCCCCGATAGTAGAAGAAAACTGAATCTTCTGGAAACTCTTGGCTCCTAAAGGCATCTTTCAAGTTACCGACACGGAAGTGTCATTGAAAAAGAAGATGACTGAATTCCTTGACTAGTCTTCCACCAGTGATGGGAACGCTGTGATATGTACATGCCCTCTGGCTTAGGTAGAAGCATCATTGCTAATACATCTCCTTCTCAGACTCTTCTTCCTTTGTAAGCCAACACATTTGAGAAAAGATTTATAATTGTAAAGTGCTGGAGGGGTAGGTATCTGCTGCCCTGGATCTATTTCGAAAAGGAGGGCTACAGGGGTGAGATACGGAGAGTCTTAGACTAACCTCAAAGACCTTGTGCCAACTCTACTGCACCCATGATCCAAGAACACGGGTAATGACATATTCACTTGAAGGTCACTCTAGCGCAAGTCTGGAATAAGGACGTCCCAGGTATAAAACATCAAACATCAAATTATATCATGGATCCTCATCAGAACTGTTGTCACGTTTGTCTGAGATGGCATCATATATATTGATTGAAAGGAAAATTGAATCAGATGAGACCCTTTCATATGACACCCTCTCTTCTTTCCACATCAATCTTTTAGGTACTAGATTCACAAAAACTCAGAAATTTTACTCTTCTTTAGGACAGGGCTGAAGTGTCCTAAAGGATCACAGAACCCACCCCAAGTCAAGCCTGGGATCATGTCAGTCCTTGAAGAGTAGTGAATGGGCAATATTTGACTGGAATTTTCCATAGTTGTGTTCACTGCATAACACTCTATTACTAAATAAAGTGATTTTTTAGTGAGTGGAATTATTTGCAATATTTGGTTCATTTTTGATGACTACTTATTTCACTGAAGTGAAAAGTAATACAAGATTGGGATATAATGAAGGAGGACTGGACAGGCTAGTGTTGTATGATCTTGTTTTTTGGCTTTAAAAGCAGAAATACAGTACCCACTCTTTTCTTGCAGTATGTAACATGAGTTGACAAGTATCTAAGAAGCTCAGAAAATCCCTTATTCCAAAATCTTTGACAGAGGTCCTTACAGAAGGACTATGAACTTCTATTCTGGGTTGATTCAAGGGAGAAAGTGGCATCTTTTACCTAAAATGAATAGGCGAGCAAATAAGGAATCCCCACTGGCAAATGCAAACTTTTTGTACCTTTCCAGCACTGTTTGTACTTTTCCACCAATGTTTCAGAAGGAGGAACAGGCAATCATATTTTATCTCTGTTTACAACATTTTGACATGAGGAATAGCCTTACTTCCTTTTTATTATGTTAAACAGCATAACTTTTTTGTTTTAGACTGACATATTTCTTCAGCTATCTTTATCAGACACAGGTTGAAGCATATCACTTGTACAAAATCCTTTAAGTGTCCACACTGTGATGGCCTAATAATCTGACAAACTTCTATTTTCTCTTTTTAGACTAATCACTTAAATTCTTACAAATGCCCTAGGTTTCCACCATGCCAGGCTGTCCTTGAATACATCATGTACCTTGATGTCTCTGTCTTTTAATTTAGCCTGAATGTCTTTATAGTCCAGTCCTTCATCCCTACCTTCCAACATTGAAAGGAAAATTCATGATAGAAAGGAGAGTTTTGATAATCTCATTTCCTCCTCCAACACTTCCTTGGTTCACTTAAATTTGAATTAGCTCTCCTTCCTTTGACTTCACACAGCATATTGCTTGTACCTCTATTATAGCCTGATGTGTTTCATCCTATCGGATGGTATAATTAGTTATCTTCATAATCGCTAGATTGTAAGCTCTTTCCGAGTGGGGACTCTGTCCTGATCATCTGTGTATCTCTCAGAACAATTAGAATAGACCTGTGCTAAATAAATGTCCATTAGCAGACCCTTTGGAAATGTCTGTTAAATGGATAATACAAATGTCCCTGCATGTTTGTAAAACCGTTTTTTCAACTATCTAGCTCTGTATAATTGTTTCAGTATGTTATTTAAAGGCTCATCAAGTTATAAAATCTGAAAGCAAATTTAATAATTTAGAGCTATTGTTTTAATCATTGATATTGGGCACTGTAAAGCATTTGGAGATTACAAAAGCCACTTTTAAAAAACTTTTTTATTTACTGACAACTATGTCTGGTTTTTTCTCTTTAAAGAATTGTCTTTTTTCTCACAACAGTAAAATTTGCTCTTCCTTATTGGTCATCTGCCAAAGCATAAACTAAGTGTTCTAAATGCCACCCTATTGAACTGACTAGGATTTTCTCCATGGTTTCTCCAAAGTAATTACAGTATATTAACTTAAGTGTTTGGGAATCAAATTGAAGAAACTTCAAAAACGATCAAAAAGAAAACACCTCCTTCACAGCACCAGTGGCCCCCACAAGCTCCATGTCCATTTAACATTTAAAAAATCATCCAAATACAAATTTACCGTCTTTATCTGCAAGCTATAAGCTAAGGCAGAGTACACAACTCTAAACACCCTGACTGGCTTTTTAAAAAAAAAATCCCAACTTTTGAGAACAGAAATTTAAGCAGCCACATTGTCTTACAATCAAAGGAAGTACAAATGAAAGCAAGTCAAATTTAAAAAGTATCACCTCCCTACCACACAAACACACACCCCCCTCCCAAAATGGAGTAGAGCTCACTTGTCTGTGGCAATGTGGTGCTATTTTTACTTTCTCTACCACAGCCTGCTGCGTTCTTATGGCAGGAAATGACAAGTCCCTCCCCACCATAGCCAGGGGACTCACTCAGTACCAGAAAGTGTGTTGGACAGGCACTGGTCTCCAAAATCTGCAATTAAGAAAAGATAATATTTTTTTCTTATTAAATTAACCTGCTGGTTTGCTCACTTTTATTTCTGACACAAGCCAATTGCTTACCACTCTATGTCATTACCTACTCCAAGTAAAACTGTACTTCTGGACACCTGTAGGCCTAGGGAATTAATCTGGCCTAGGGCGAATTTAGAAGTCATTTAAGCATAAGCTTGCTATTTATTTATTTCTAATTCCTTTCACTTAAATACATCTTGTGAAAGGCTAAAGGGAGAAGGCATTTCTAAATCAAAACTAGAAACAATAAATTAAAAGGCTTTTTTTTTTTCAGTGAATGGCATTATTTGCAATATTTGGTTGGTTTTTGATGACTATTTCACTAGAATGAAAACTAAACAACTGGCCACTTCTTGAGATTTTGTTTAGATTGAATTCATTGCATTTTCCACCTGTTTACTTTGTAACATTTTAACAAGCGTTAGAGCAATGAGGTTTAGCTCTAAGAGATGGCAAATGACTTGAATTCAGATGATGCCCCGTACTTACCAACTTAAGTATATGTCAGGTACAAAGAGTTTGGAGAAATAACTCTGACAGTTTGGAGGGCCAATTGCTGGTTTCAGCGAATGAGTAATTCAGTGGCAGAGTAATTGCAACTATGTGAAGTCTGGTTATTTTTATTTTAAAATGACCATCAAATGGTTATGTACTTCCATCATTTGTTATGTATTTGGCCTCTTTATCTATCTATCTATTTATCTACCTATCCATCCATCCATTCATCAGTCATTTAGACAAGGCTTCATAGACAAGATAAGAGGAAGTTTAAAACAAATGGATAACAATCCTAAGAATAAATTTATCTAAAACCGAGACCCTTCTTTTCTCACTATTTCTATTCTCACTATTCTCACTATTGAGAACATCACTGATAACTCAAAGTTTCAACTTTAAAGTCTTCTTTAATCCCATTCCTCCCCCTTCGTCCTGGCTTCCATTCTCTACCTGCTATTTAGAGTGCTACAGGGTTCATCTGACCTTCCCTGCAACATTATTCTGATCTACCTTATTTTTCCCTTAGTTCTATCTCTGTCTATCTGACTTTCTTATTATTCTCACAACCTTTCCGACTATGCCATCAACGTATCCTACATACCATATCAAGGTATTCATCCCCAAGAAATCTTCTTTGCCTAGGAGGATGAATGGTACTCTCCATTTGGAACCACTACATCTGGGAAAAGTTACCCAAGAAATACAACACAACACACACACATACACACACACACACACACACACACACACACACACACTACCTTTCTAGACTCCATCAATGAGTTGAAACTTTTAGAACATGGGATTCCCCACAGTGATAATTTTTAAAACATAAACTTGGGGCTGGCCCAGTGGCTTAGTGGTTAAGTTCATGCTCTCCGCTTCAGTGGCCTAGGGTTCACAGGTTCAGATCCCAGGTACAGAGGTAGCACTGTTAGTCAAGCCACCCCCTGGTGGCATCCCACATAAAATAGAGGCAGATTGGCACAGATGTTAGCTCAGCAACAATCTTCCTCAACAAAAAGGAAGATTGGCAACTGATGTTAGGGCCAATTTTCCTCGCAAAAACCAAAAATTTTAAAATATAAAAAATTGAACTTATCAGAAAGCAAGCATCCAAATGAGTTTGCCTTTCCTAAGCTGTCACTTTGAAAGGCTACATGATTATCTCAATTATACTCCTACTGTTCAGGAAAATTTTGGAATTCTCCTTTAGAGTTTCTACATTACATACTTTAGAATAATTCCCGTGGTGACAAATCCTTGTCTTTTAAGGGTAGTTGAATTTTGGGAAATATTCAAAAGCCATTCTTCGGAACCAAGTCTGAAAGATGAAGTTAAGTTTCAATTTAAAAATGCCATTTTTGGTCAAAAGCAAGGTATGATAAGGTATGACCATACTGTGTTAAGACTCATTTTTATTGATTAGCTCAAACCAGTATCAAAGATAATTTCAAAGAACAAGTTATGAGAATATTTGGTGAAATGAAGCATCAGTAGGGTAAGTATATAGCTTTTCAAAGTGACCATTTGAAAGTAACATTTATTCGAAAATATAAATTGTGATGTATTTATTTAAATTAGTCATAGCAAAGGCAACTTGGTGTAATGAAAGTAATATTAGATTGCAAGTGGGAAGTCTTGAGTTCTTGTTACACCTCTTCCTGTGTGATCTTGGGCAAGTCAATTTCTCTGAGATCCATTTCTTCTTTGAAATGTGTTGGTTAAACCAAAGAACTTTTAAGGGCTCTTCTAGCTCTAATATTTAGTCATTTTCCATCTGGGTTTTAAATACCCTAGTATTCCATGCCATATATATGTTTTCATGTGCATGCACATTTAATTATTGCATAATATGCAATTTTTTATAAATAATGAGGCATTATTTGTAGTGGGCAAGAGCATGGACTCTGGAACCAGTCTTCCTGGATTCAAATTCCGGCTCTGCCACTGAGTAGCCGTGTGACTTTGGGCAAGTTACTTAAACATTTCTGTGTCTCAATTGCTTCATTTGTAAAATGAGATGGTAACAGTGCCTACCTATCTCTATGAGTATTTAATGAGTTAACGTTTCTGAGTTTCTATAGTAAGCGCTATATAAATATAACAAATAAAATGAACAAATTGTTAGCATTTTAAACAGTATAAAATAACTGTGTGCACACATAAATGCTGTGGACAAAGACTGAATGCTGGCTAATGTCTCCAGGAGGAAATTATTTAAACAAATTACATAGATATCTTTATATGCCTATTAATAAAAAAGTTTTATTGGTATTTGTTTTGTTTTGCTTTTCTGTTTGTTTGCTAATACTAGTGGTTGAGTACTCTTTCTCTCTTTAAAGCCTGAGGTTGTATCTTGATTAGGGACTTTCATGGCTATTAATAAATGAAAATGCATTAAAATTTTTCCCAGTTAATTTGAATTTCATATCACAATAGGGATTCAGACTCAACCAGCACTTCTATTTTTTAATTCCTCCAACGGAGGTATAGTACTTTACTCGAGCCAATGGATAATTACTTTTGACAATAGAAGTATGTTATTACCACCACCTATTATTAGTCACTAATTCACGAGTATTACAAACATAATATGTTTTGGACAGTTACCTGATTCTTTTCTCCCTGTCTCATTGAGCTCTCCAACTATACTCATCCTGATTACATCAGGGAAAAAAATATCAAGTGGTCTTAAACAGGGGCTCTTTCCCCTTTTATGAGAAAGTGCAACTAGAAAGAAAAGATGAAGTGGCTTCAATTTGGCTTCCAGATATCCATAAACTGATACATTAAATACTTAAGTTAAACAAACACATATTCACATACAAGGGTATGTGCATTATAAGGAGTTGTACTAGTTATTAAAACCCTGACCTCCTAGTTTGTGATATAATTGAATGCAACCATGTTTAGGGTATTTTTTTATCCATGTTTAAGTGATCTGTGTAGTCATTTTGCTCATGATTTTTTAAACTGAGCTGAAGTATTAGACATGTCCTCTTACAATGGTTAGATATCTAGGCTGGTGCTTTGGTAATCCACTTCTTCTAAGAATAGGCAACCAGACAAAGGAGCCAAAATCAAACATAACAAACACTCCCCTTACCTCCGAAATCGGCGTATTCCAAATATGTTCTTAACCAAAGACTCGTTGACTTTTAAGCTTACCAATCAGTGAGTAGACACTTGCCTAATATTCATGTGATTCACTTACAACTACTGTAATCTTCCTTCTCAGCAAACATCATCCCCTTCCTCAACACACACGTTACTCTCTACTATATGACTAGAGTGGCCAATATGTGCTGAGTTCTGAGTGATATAGATATCTCCTTAAAGTCTAGAATTGAAAGGATTTGTGTAATTTGTACATAGACTTACTTTCAAAGTGGGAATAAAGACTGGGTAACCTGGTTTCCCCTTCTGAAGCCTAAGCAGATTAAACAGTCCATTAAAAAACAGGGCCAGGATTAGGGTGTGGTGAGTGAGGGACTCTCCTTGGACACAAAATTTCAGGGATTGCCAAAGAGCTCAGTAATCAAGATACGTAACATTTTAGTGCAATATTTTTAAAAGATCAAAATGAATGCAAATCCATGGTGAACATAATATCAAAATAGTAAATAAAGACAGAATCAGTATGATTGATTTTTCCTTTTGTCTCAGGCTCCAATATGACTCAACATGGCACTATGAAAAAGAAGGTCACGTTCTGCCAAATACTCCAGAAACAGCAGCCTTGTGTATTCTATAAGATTACATTCATTGACTGGTAGAACCTGGCCATTACTTGGTAGTCTATCAAGTGGACCAGCAAATGTGGGACAGGTGGCTAGTGAGGGCTCTCAGAACCAGCCCAGGTTCCACAGAGTGAAAGAGCACTCTTTTAGAGATGATGTCAAAACCATTTTGAGTACCTCCTGACTTCTCCAGTGCTGGTAGAATTTCTTACTCAGAGCTATAGGGTCTCCCGAGGAAGCCATGGGGAATCTGGCTGGTTTAATTCATTTATGCCTGAAAGAACATAGACAATCAGTGCTCAAGTACAGCATGAAGAAAATGCTGACAGAGGACTGGGAAGTTTCAGCAGGTAGATGCTGAGACCCCCAAAGTGGATTACCATGGGCAAAAGAAACTATAGAGAGAGTTACACTCAGCCCTTCATGGTAGCAAACTAGAGTTAGTGGGAATACGTTTACCATCTGACATCTCTTCTTGACTTGGCAGCCTTTTGAAAGGGTGAGAGAAGGTAGGAATATCAGTGGAAGGGTTCACAAGTCACTCCCTGGTCACAAGGAGCTCTTAACTATGATGAGCTAGCCTAGAAAAATCCTACAGCTTCTAGTCAAACTCACAACAGTTAGAAAGTAGAAACTGAGGTTTTCTCAGTGGGAGATCTTTTCTGGGTTCTCATGATCCCAACTGTTTCATTGATTAGTAGATACACATGGAGGGAGA